TAGGGGGTTATTATTCATATATGATGTTTTGGGTTGGTAGAGCATAGTTCTAGTTATTTAATTAAATAATAGAATTAAAAATATTAGAGAGTAATTAGAATTATTATTAAATAAAATTAGAGTAAAAAGGGTATTTTAGTAAATAAGAGCATAGGTGAGGGCATGGTGAGAATCACTAATTAAGGATGATTAGGTTTCTAATAAAAAGGAGTTAGTAGAGAGTTTTTGGGGTTAGTACGTAAAACTGAATTTGGAGAAGAATGGGCTTGGAGAACAAAGGCTTAGGAAAGATCTCCATTGTTAGAGCTTGAAGGTGCTTTTGCTGAAAAATCCAAGGTAAGGGAGGATTACTCTAAATATGGTGTTTAATGCATGATTGGGTAGGGGAAGTCCCTAATCCCATTAAGTTTTTCCTTAATTTTTTCTATTTTGTTGAATGATTGATGAATATGAATTGATTTTTGTGATAACATGGTTTATGTGTTGAATTATATGAAATTAGTGTATTATTTTATCATGAAAATTGTGTGTTCTTGTTAGTGAAGATGGTATGTGTCAGTGTTTATATACGTGTTGTGATTTTGATGAACAAAATATATAGAAGCCATGATTAATCAAAGAAAATGCATGTTAATTGATAGATAGATGATGTATTGACGTCAGGTACTCTTTTCCCTATTGTTGTTGATCAATTTAAGGGTTGAGAAGGGAAAACCAGAGTTATGAATTGAACTTCATTGCAAAATGCAGTCTCTGCCTTCTGGTTCAAGGTGACAGGCGTCACCCTCATGACGACCAGGTCATCACGACCTTTGAGGCACTGACAGGTGTTAGTTGCCTGACGGGTAGACTGTCATGGTCCCCAGACCCAGTTTTATGGGGCGAGTGTCATAGGGATGACAAGTAGAGTGGTGTAGGCGGCTGACGGGCATCACCTTGGTGACGGGAAACCCATCATGCTGCTAGAATGGGTATCATTTGTTCATTTGTGTGGAATCAAGTTGTTAGTTCTAATTTTTAAGGTTGCATTGTGATTATACTACTATTTGGCCACTGTTTAGAAGTATTTTGGTGTTATTTATTATTGATTGTAGAATTAATCAATTGTTGTGGTGTTGTACAAAATTTTGGTAATTGTATGGTGATAATTTTGGTGATATTTCATGTTGTTAAAAATTATGCATCATGGTGTACGAACTTTGCTCTAGTTTTGGTGTGCTCTGGTTCGATGGTGTGGATTCAAGAGCGATAAATTAGTTCTAGATGGGAATTAGTGAATCGTTACTAAAGGTGTTAGTAGCGAATTGGTGTGCTCTGGTTCTAAGGAGGGAATTCAGGAGGGAGATGGACATGTGTTGTTTATAATGGTATCACATGCATGTAAAGTTATGGTGTTTAGTAGATTGCATTCTTTATTTACATATGTTAATGAACGATTATGTTGATATTGATGGATGAGAATACTTATGCAGTTAATGTGAACGAATTGTATTGAAATGATGTGAATGAGATATGTGATTTCTTGATGTTTGCTTAGGCCACCCTTGCATATTTTTGCACCATTATATATTTTGAGCGTATTCTTACCCCTTTGTTGTTCGTGTGATTATGTGCTCCTTCTTGGGCTACAAACGAGCGGGTAAATGAGTAGTTGATAGGAACAGAAGGATGACATTGAGGCTATTCTTCTTGTCTTGTTCTATGCAATATTTAGATTTTGTTGTTATGATTTGTAACATTGCACGGGCGAACGTTATGTCTTATTAATTATTGTTATTTTGGATGTTGTTGATGTTTAAGGCATTATGTATAACCAAGTGTTATGTTTAAAAGAAGCTGTTATGAGACGTCATTGTTTGTTGAGTTACTTTATTTGATTTATTTCCCGCTGCAATGAGTCTACGTAAAGGTGAGTAGGTGATGTCAAATGTTTAAGTTATTACATGTTTTATTCTAATTCATGTTATAGAGAATGTTTATGTTGTGTTTACATGACACCCTATACGTATAGTTCTTTTAAATTTGTATTATTTTGCGTTGGGGGTTGTTATAGTGTTAGAATGTCTAACTAGTTTGTTAATCAGTTAGTTAGGCTAATTAGATGTATTACTAGGTATATAATGTATGTCCTTATACATGTAACAAGAACATAATTCTATCATTATTCAATATACATTTTATTCCCTACTAGAATTAGAAATTGAGGAAAGGTTGAAGATGGTCAACGCGTAGAATTTTGTGATACAATGGTTATGATTTAGTGAATAGATGGAAACCTACAAAAAGTTAAGACTTACACACTCAAGTTAGTATCTGAGAGAGACAAAGTTGTTGTAACTGTGAATGAAAGAATACTTTGGCATGACGTAGGGCCAATGTTATATAAAGGAGATGGTTAGAATCGTTTCAAGTTTATTTGGCATGGAGTGTGGGCACTCATTGGGTGGATCAACAAGAAAGACGGGATATGAGGCTGTGCCTTATGGAATGTCCAAAAATAAAGGTACACTTGTGCTTTAAGGACTATAGTGTCATTTGCTGGATTGAGCATTCAAATTGGGATCATCTTCATGGATCTTTGGCCAATAGTAACAGTTTCCCTCAAGTCCTTGTTATCACCTTTAAAGTGAGGATTTTTGAAGTATGATTCACTAAGATCGATCTAAGAATGGGTATCGTTGAGAGACATTTGTGTGTCAAAAAGTTGACCCAATGAGAAAAATATTCATTATGACATTGAGTATGGTTAGTTAGAATTAACAACATGCGCATTTAATGATCTTTGTGCAGACAAAACATTGCTACGAGGGAGGCCTCCATGTGCATCCACACACGTAGGGTTGGGATGTGATGCACATAGGTGTACTCAAGTGTACTAAACAGCAAATATGGGTTTGAGATTACATCTGAGTAATTAGATGTGATATTTGATCATATGTTGAATCATGGTCATTGAACTTGGAATCTTTTGTACCTATAAAAGGGGAATTAGAGTTCAATTTAAATTTTTTGACTTCTTTATCTTGCATGCAATCGAAGAGAGTTTGTTTGTGATTTATTTTGAACTTGTTTCAAATTATGGATTTTTTATCTTCATGTTGGAGTTTCTCTTGCATTCTTTACTCAAGTTACTTGCACTACTTAAAGTATTTTGTTCTTCTTCGTTTGTTCATTTCTTCTGCTTTTAATCTTCTTCACATAAATCATGCCCAGGGAACTCATATCTAGAAAACATTATTTGAGAACTTAGCGGTGCATAATTAAGTGATGATGATTTAAAAATTAAACTAGAGATAGTTAACCTTGGAGAAATAAAGTTTGCCCCCACTAATATATAAATGAGGCAGGTTGCGTTAGGTTTACTTTTGGTGAAATTCTAGTAATTGACCATATATGTGTGAAGAATCTGATGGATGATTGTAACGCTCAATGTGTTTTTAGAGACAACATAATTTTTCCGTACTAGAATCATGAATAGATGAAAGGTTGGACATGACCATATCATAAAAGATTATGATAGTGTGGTTATGATTTTCTTGTGAACGTAGGGAATACATGCAAGTATGAGTAAAAGAATACCTAAGTCTGACTCAGAATCACACTTATATAAGGAATATAGTTATGGTCGTTCTTGGTTTGTTCAACGTGGAGTGCAAGAAGCTGTTGAGTGTGATCATGGTATAGACGAGGGAGGATGTCGTGCTCTTGTGCAATGTCTAAAAATGAAGGTCAACATGTAAGTTAGTGATTAAAACTCCCTTTGTTAGAATGGGCCTATAAATTTAGTCTATTGTAATAGATCTTTGGCTAGTCCATAACACTTTTCTTTCATTCAAAAATCTACCAAGAATTGTAATATGGTATCAAAGTCAGGTTTAAGATTCGTTAGGCTACCAATTATTATGTTTTCGTTATCAAGTCACCAACCATTTATATTCTTGCTCCAGATGTATAATCCTTGGCGTGATAGGGTGTGTTAAAGAGTCTCACATTGATTAATCCTCATTTTATAAGTCAGTTTTGTAATATGCTTAACCACAATTATAAGATGATATCAAAGTCTGCTTCAAGATCAGATGGGTGAACGACTATCAAGTTTCTGTTATCGGATCATCCACCATTAATAAGTCGATTTAAAAAATAATAAAAATAGAAATCTTTTTAATCAGATTTTGTTTACAAAAGAAAATGGAAAAGAAAAATATTTAATAGATTAAAAAAATCGATTTAGTCTTCAATATTTTTAAAATCTTATAGGTGTTGGGTTATATTTAGGATATTTTTTAATATCATATAAGTTAGTTCAACATGATATAATTGTTATACAATTTTATTATGAAGACCCACTTATATGATCAAATTATCTGATTTTATCATAGTTAGTCATGTAGTTCAACAAGTAACTCTCTTATTCGACCACCAAAGGTTTAACCATGTGACCTAGTCAATTTAATGGGAGTCCATTTTTAAAACACTCTTTCAATCAATCTTAGGTTTAAGAATCAAGGAATAACTCTTATGAGTGTTGGAATGATACTCTCCACTGGATTGTCAACAAGTAACTTTCAAAGTCGAGAATTGAGCACGTTGCATTGAACTCCCATGCCCATCTTCAACCGTTCACATTATGCATCCTCCTTTACTAAAAAAGACAAACTCAAGAATGCACATTTTTAATTGCCATTGAAAGTGAAATTCATGTCCATGACCTCTATTGTTTTCGTGTGGCATTTGTAATGAAAAAAAGCCCAAGCCCAAGCCCAACGAACTGTGTTAGCCACGTCAGGGACACGCAAAGTCGTTATCATTCAAAAAAAGAACGATTAAAAAAGCGTGTAATGATGAGAGAAAACCCCACAAAAACGCCAGGTGTCCGTTCTTATCCTTTAGCCCGTTGAAAACGCTATAAAAGCACAATGGTTTAGAACAATAGAACAATTAGAAACCCTAATCATAAACCAAACCGTTATAACAGAAAACAAATATCTCAAATTCTAAAAATGGCTTCTAGTATTCATGCCGTTAGAATCCAAGCCTGTGCGGGTTCCGGCAACCGCATTCCAGATCCCGATCGCCGGAAAAGCTCTTCTTCCAACTGGTGGACTCCGCTGTTCGGTTGGTCATCAGAGCCTGACTATATTAACTCCAACAACAAAGCACCGAATCCGCAATCGGAATCAGATCCGGCGTCGAAACCTTCGAAACTCCGCTTCGCTGGTGGACTCACGGAGGAGAAGGCGAAACAGCTTCGATTGATGACCACCGACTCGTTTCATGATACCATGTATCACTCTGCCATCGCTTCTCGACTCGCTTCTGACTTCAAGGCACGCTCCGATCAGTAATCTTCCCGGTGCCGGAAACTTCCATGTCATATCTTGTTGCATTCACTATTTGTTTTTATTGTAGTTTTTTAATTGTCTGCATCCAGATTTTAGGGCTTTTTTAAAAATCCAGATTTATTGGCTTGTTTTTTAATATCCAGATTTTTGGACTTTATTGTAAGCATTGACATTAGGTAATGTATTATTCAATCGTTGTATTTGTAAATATAGTATAGAATAATATTTTGAATATTAATGTATGTGTTGTTTCAACTTTACTCTATTGATTATTTATTTTGCTTATTTTTTATTGATTTAATAAGTTGAGTATGGGAATGGAGGATAGGGATGATATAATGTTTATTATTATTCCTAAGAAATCTTGCCCAAACTTGGCCCCACTTGGTTCCCACTAGGACAACATTTGCGTGAAGAAACATTAATTTAAGATTATTGTTCAACTTGACTGAAAGAGTAACAATTAGATTTGGAGTGTGGGATACGAGATGGGATCTGAGAGAATTTTAAAACGTTATATCCTGCCTAAAGCATCTAACCAGGGAATATGCTTTGGGGGTCTCTATCTTATCATTATAGGGGAAGTTAAATAAATCATATTTGTCTTGAATCTCTGAATCTGGTGGTGTTTTTTTTTTTTTTGGACAAATATTTAGAAAAGTCACGTGTTTTTTTATTGAGGGATTGTGATTGTGCATTGATTTGATTTTAATGTAGAAATAAACCAGTTTTATTAGATTAAACTAAATTAGATTTTTGGTATAAGAAAATTAATTTAATGAAACTTTTTTTGTTGAAATTTGTTTTTCTTTTTTATAGTGAAATCTTGTTCTACTTAATTTTATCTTGGAGCACAAAAATGTTGAGTATATAAGTATTAGATTTTTTCTAATGAAGTTAGGGCATTTAAGAAATCAAAGGTATATAGGTTAGAGCATTCACATCCATCATACTCATTTGTATTTTTTAAATAGGTCCCACTTACTTTTTTACATTATATCGCACTTTTAAATTATTTAAACAACTCAACTACATTTTTCAAATATCCATACAACTCATAAACTTTATAAAATGTGTTCCACTAAATACCACAAATATCTTATATTAAATCTTTTTACAATTATTTCCAATTAAATAATTAATTAAATGCACATGTGGCACTTGTAGGAATGTTGTTTAATGTGACAACGGTTGCAAATTAAAGAACGATATTATTATGCAATTATCCATCATTTTCTGACACAATCACTTTGGTAATAGTGTAGGAATCATATATTTCTACCGATAATTATGCTCTTAGTTGTTGGTTAGAATCCACTAAACAAGCTAATTAGTATGTATAAATATTTGAGGTTATGTTGTAATCATTCATTCCTTCTCAATAAAAGTTTCTGCTCAATTATTTTCTTCTTATTTCTTCATCAACAAAATTTATCATCTTGTTCCAACAAATTAGTAATCAAATAGTGTGGTTCAATTCAATTTAGTCGTTTGCAAAGGAAAATGGGAGCACAACTTCGAACCAATTTCTTGCAAACTTATCGGTTTTCAAATGTGAAAACTTTGACAGATGAAATGCACAAATGAAAGTCATATTCAGATTTCAAGATGTGGTAGAAATCGTTGATGATGACATGTCGGTGTTGGAGGAAAATGCGAATGATACTAAAAAAGTTGCACACAAAGAGTACACGAAGAAAGATGGGAAATCTTTCTTCTTGATTCATCAATGTATTGATTCAAATCTTTTTGAGAATATCATTGAGGAAGAGACGACTGTCGTACCTAAAAAAAGCAGGATACTTCGCGAATGGTCGCGGAAAACACAGAGTCGCCACCAAACTTTATTTATCCCAAAAAGGGAAAGGAAAATATCGATAAAACCTTTAGGGAAAGAACATGGTCATCGCAACCAAGTTCTAGGTTCGGGAGTCGGTTACGCGAGGGGAAGGTATTAGCATCCCTCACGCCCGTTGTACTCAACGGGAACCTTTTGATTCAATTCGTAAGAAATGTTAGCCTAGTTTGTTTGTGTTCTTCCAAGATAAAAGGTTTAAAGGTAATGTAAAAGGGTTTAGGCTGTTAAAGAGAAATGGGTGGTTTTAGAAAAGAGTGCTCGTCAAGGATTAGGGCCCTTGTGCCTATGTATTTTCACTTAAAAGAAGTGAAGAATCAGAGCATCCGTAGTTCGTGGGACTACGGGAAAAGGAGGGAAGTTGTGGAATTTGAAATGTGCTCGCCAAGATCATCGCAATCTTGTGTCTACGTATTCTCGTTAACAGACGAGAAATCAGAGCGTTCGTAGTTCAGACAGCTACGGGAAAGGTCTCAATCGCACTAGGGCGAGAGAAAGGGTTTTGAATAACAGGTTAGTCTCGATTGCATTGGGGCAAGAGGAAGGGTAAGTTAGTTGTTAGTGTGCTCGTCAAGGATAGAGATCCTCGTGCCTACATATCTTTATTAAGGAATAAGGAATCAGAGCATCCGTAGTTCGGCCTACGGTTGCCGGTTTGACTTAACGAAAGATACTTAGTCGTATTTGACAGAAAATATTGCTTTATCTAAACTAGTGAGAATAGGATGCTTGCACCACTTTGAATGGATTTCCATATTGTCGCTACTCGAAAAATGCATCGTGCAACGACGGGGAGGCGAAAAGAAAGGACAGAAGAGTCGCCACCGAACTTTATTTATCCCATGAGGGGAAAGGAAAATATCGAGAAAACCTTAAGAAAAGAATGGATAAGATGGTCTCGCAACCATGAACGGGTTCGGAAGCCGGTTATGCGAGGGGAAGGTATTAGCACCCCTCGCATCCATCGTACTCGATGGGAACCTTTTATTTGTCGACGTGTGAAATTATTTGCTTAAATATTATGCTATAAGAAGTGTTCCACAGGGTGAAGAAAAAGGGTTTAGAAACAAAGAAAGGAGGGATAACAGGGAAGAAAAGAAAGAATAGACTCGGTAGGACTTCGCAGTCCTATGCCTACGTATTCTCAATAGATGTGAGAAAGTCAGAGTCGACGTAGTTCGGGGAACTACAGATATGGGGGAAATATGCTCGGCAAGGATTGTGGCCCTTGTGCCTACGTATCTTTACTTGAATGAAGTAAAGAATCAGAGCAGCCGTAGTTCGGCCTACGGTTTACGGGAAAGCGGGGTGTTTTTGTGGATGATGTTATCGTGCGCATTCTAGCAGTTTAGGTGTATTGCTGCTCGCACGTGAGGAGACTTAGGCGTTACCTGTTTGCGGTAGAACGGACGTAACATATCCTTTTTGAAAGGTTGGTTTTCGCCATGCGAGGCAAGAAGTCACATTTGATTGGTTGAATTGTTTTTAAGGGTGAGATAAGTTCTCGGACAGTAACCCCTACGGGTAGTACCCAATTTGTTATCTCAAAGTTTGTGTTATGAAAATGGTATGGAGAACGTAGCGTCTTCGTATTGAAAGACGAGTGTCGAGACCACCCCCACTACAGTGAGCATCCCAACACTCGGAGAGGAAAAAGACTACACTTAATCATCTCTCTTTAATTCAATGCAAAGAGAACTTCGTTCTCTTATTAAAGATGTTTTTGGTTTTGAATGGTAAGTGCTTTGCGACAGAGAACCCTACGGTAAACGTCAGCACTCGGGATAGGAGAAGGCCTACGCCTAACCACTCCACGACCATTCAAGTTTTGTATATGAAAAGGAAATGAAAATGCACTCGGTACAGGACCGAGGTTTTAGGTGTGAAAAGGGTTGCGGGATAAAGTTGAGGAAGGGGATGGTGGATAAAGTCGCGTCTTCGTATCGAAAGACGAGTATCGGGACCACCCTCACTACAGTGGGCATCCCAACACTCGGAGAAGAAGAGGTCTACACCCAATCTTCTCTCTTTAATTCGATACAAAGAGAAATCAATTTATTACTGAAAAGGATTTTGAAAATGCGCTCGGTAAGGGTCCGAGGCTTTAGGAGAAAATGTTTGGAAAATAGAAAGAATGGAAAGAAAAACGTCTTCGTATTGAAAGATGAGTGTCTAAACCACCCACACTACAGTGAGCATCTCGACACTCGGAGAGGAAGAAAGTCTACACTTAATCCCCTCTTTTAGTTCAATATAAAGGTGATTTGATTTTAATTGAAGAGGTTTTGAAAATGAACTCGGCGCGGAGCCGAGGTTTTAGGAGAGAAAGTAGATGAGTGTGGAGAATACATGCGTCTTCGTATTGAAAGACGAGTGTCAAAACCACCCACACTACAGTGGGCATCTCGACACTCGGAAAGGGAGAAAGTCTACACTTAATCCTCTCTTTTTAATTCAATACGAAGAGAAATTTATTGAAAGGATTTTGAAAATGCATTCGGTACGAGACCGAGGTTTTAAGAGCAAAAGGGGTGGAAGCATCTTTGTATTGAAAGACGAGTGTCGGAACCACCCTCACTACAGTGGGCATCTCGACACTCGGAGAGGAAGAAAGTCTACACTTAATCCTCTCTTTTTAATTCAATACCAAGAATTGGTTTTAAGGAGATGAGATTTGAAAATGGATGGGAAGCGTCTTCGTATTGAAAGACGAGTGTCGGAACCACCCTCGCTACAGTGGGCATCTCGACACTCGGAGAGGAAGAAAGTCTACACTTAATCCCCTCGTTTAGTTCAATACAAAGATGATTTGATTTTGAAGTTGGTTTGACAATGTTTTTGAATTGAGTCGGGACAGGTGACGAAGAGAGAAAAGAGGTGGTCTCAGATCCAACATTACTTATCAATAATTTGACTGGTAATGAATTACGGAGGTCTCGTCATCGACCCAAAAGGCAAAAAAAAATGTTCAATAACAAATACGAGAGAACCCAACTCTAAAAATAAAATAAGTCTTAATGTCTCTAATACAAATTGAAATGAAATTAAATTAAAATAATATATAATCCATCTTAATAATAACTAATATACAAACTAAAGAAAATAATTTATATATATTTACATAACAATCCATCTTAAAATATATAATCTGTTAGAAAAATAAAAAAAACCATTATATAAAAATATTTACAATATATAAATGTATTTACACGATAAAAATAATTTACAATTTAATTTAAAAAAACAAGACAGGGGTTTGTAATGAAAACAGGGGTGGTATGTATAGATTCAAATGTTCCATGGACTTTAAAGCCCAACCAAAATAAATTATCATTAATAAAATTAAAATAAAAAAATGATAATTAAAAAAAAATTTAAAAAAAAAAGGAAACAAAAGTGACAGAGCTTCTTCTTCTCATTCGCATAAAAAAAATGGGTCAACACAGAAACATGAAACAACGTTTCCGCCTCCTTCACCCTCTCGGTCTAATTTTCTCCGTTTTCAAGTTCATCATTTTTCTGTTTCACTCTCTCCGTTTCTGCTTCGAAGCTCCCTAACTTCTCTTTTTCTTATTTCGTTTTCGTTTCCGCCTCAAATCCAAACTCTCCGTTTCGTTTTCCTGTGTTTGGTTTTATCTCAGAGGTTTGTGCAGATTTGTAATGGAGGTTATGGGATTCGAAGTTCGGATGTGGGTTTCGCAGTTTTAATGGTGGATATGGGTTCTGAGATGGTGATGCGTGGAGATTGGAGGTAATTTATGGCTGGGTTTTCTGTGAGTTGTTGTTGGTTTTATTTGAGGGTTGAAGAAGGAGTTGGACAATTGTGTGAGCATGGTTTGGAGAAAAAGGAGAAGGTTAGTGTTTGAGAGATGTGAGGATGGTGAAGATGTTTGAGGACGGAGTGAGGTGAGTTTTACAATTGGAGGTTTTAGTGAAGAACAGGGGTATCGCAGATTGGGTTGTGGTTCGCGGATGTTTTGTGGGAAGTAGAAAAGAGTTGGAGTACTGTAGAGGGTTGGTTTGAGCTATTGAACAACAAAGACAGTGGGCTTGTTCGGTTTGCTCATGGTTCACATATGTGAGTGAGTTTGAAGTTAGTTGTAAATGGTGAGGGTTCGTTAGACTCAATGCCAGGAAACAAAACAAACCAAACAACACAGATCAAGACTATGAAGACAGAAAGAGTAACAGAATACTTACAGAGTAAGAGCAATACCACCAGATTGTTGATACAGAAAACAGATGAGCTCCTTCTTCAATCTCCTTTTTCGTTTTGTTTATGTGTGCTTTTCTTTGTTGAGGGATGAAGATGAGCTGTGAGAGAGGGTGGTTGCTGCTCTTGTTAGGGTTCTCTCTTCTTCCTCCCTTTTTTGAGTGAATAGTGTTGCTATATATATGCCCAATCCAGTTAGGTTTAGCAGACAACCTCTGCCACAATTTCTGAGACCTCTGCTCCATCATGGTTGTGTTTTTTGCCATGGTTTGTTTTATTCCGTTTTTGTATCTAAACCTGCTGTGAATTTTCTGCTACTGGTGTTTTTGCTATTTTTACTAACATAAGTGTGTGGTCCCATTTTCTCATTGTTGTGTTGTTCTGATTAAAAACAATGTGTATATTCAAAACTCTGACTTAAGTAAACAATATGGTAGGATGTGACTTAAACTTTGAGTCATTTGAATTTGTATTGTTTTTTCCTAATTCTGACTGTGCCGTATTCTCATGCTGGTCCTTTGTCTCCATGGCAGTATACAGCACAAGGAAGAGAAGTATCTTCAGGAAACGGAGAAGGGATATAATATGCTTCAGTAAATTCATAGCTTCCTCCCTGATCTCTAATGTTGGCATATGAGGAAGAAAGTCGTTGCCGACAAAGAAGCATAGAAATGCAAAATCATCCACTACTCGTTCAAAGTCAATCTCAAAAGGAGGGTTGGGAATCTCCAATTCATATTGCCAATATTCACGAAGCACCCAGATGTTAAGAAACTGAGATTCCTTCTTGTGAATTGGTTTATCATCAGCAGGACTCCCGTCCTCAATTTCAGTTTCTGGCTTACCGTGACAATCAGCTGCATAATGGCCAACTTGGCCACACACATAACACTTGTCCTGTTGTCCGGGTAAAGTAATTACCTCCCTCAATATTGAGAAGTGAACCTCATGAGTAGTTAAGGAGAGCATAATCAAATCAGCATCCAATTCATACAAACAATGGCGAGTATTCGGATTGAAACCAGGAACATTACGTTGTAACCGGATGTATTCCATTATTTTATGTTCTCCCTCACCAGGAACATTTGAATCAGAAAGTATAACCTTTATATTTTCCAGGCAGGGTTGAGGTTCAATCTAGTCTGTACATAAGACTGAAGAGCCACTGACAGAGCTGCCATAAATTTAGTACCAGGGGTAATGACATTTGAGTCTGAAGTCTCGGGCTTATCTTGGGAAGGCAAAAGTGTTCCCTCACTGATTAATTCTTTCCTCTTCTGCTTCAGCCTCAGCTGCATCTTTGCAGCTCGGAAGCGTCGAGAACGTTGCTGATTCATTTTTGCTCGTGGTGCAGCACCATCAGTTGCAAGGTAGAGAAGCTTCCTCGGACGAACCAACAAAAAGAGATGGTCAACATAATCAAATATCAATTTAAACACCTCATCATAGGTAGCTGGTGCTGGTTTGCCATCAGGGTGAAAACAAGGATGAATAATGTCGTTCATGTATGACACCCTTCTGGAGCAGAATCTCTAGAGATTGATTGAACCATTCTCAAGGGTAGAGATTGCACATATTGCTGAACTTATTGAGCTTCCTCATAAACAGTGGCCTGAACTGATAGGATCACTTTTATCAAATATTCATCAAGTTCCTGCTCATGTCAAGCAAGCAACTTTGGAGGCTCTCGGGTATTTGTGTGAGGAAGTCTCTCATGAGGTTGTTGAACAAGACCAAGTAAAATTCTTACTGCTGATAGTCGTGCCAAAGGTTTGAGAGCCAATTAAACAGCCATGGGGTTTATCCGATAAGTAGCTTCTGTTGTAATAATCAGACGACTGCCTTTTCAGGGTACCATTGGCCTTAGGAGCACTTATCTCCATCTTGGTATTGCAATCACCAGGATAAGAGGGTCTATTGAGCATTTGGGCATTAACACCGACATTGAAGGGTGTGCGTGACTGCATGCCTGCATCCATAAGGCTAAGCAAATGCATGGCAGGTATTGTCTCATTAGAATACAAATCCAAAGATCCCCTCAAATTTTGATGAGGCTCTATTCCATTATGTTTGCAAGGAAATGGGTATTCTCCATTCACCCTGCTGAAGACTCCAGCACCTGTATTCCTACTACTATGATTTTCTTGGCCTGTAGTATTGATATTTGTGTAGTTAAGATCAATATCCTCCTCAAGTTCTGCGTATGTACTGCACCAGATCGGAGTGAATTCATGTCCATGTTGTTATTACTAGGTTGAGAAGCAACCTTTTGTGATACATCATACCCTAAGGAAGTGCGATTTGAGGCCAAGGATGCCCAAATGCGAGAAGCTTCGTTATCCTACGTAATATATTCTTGTGTAAGCTACATCCTCCCAGAGCTTGCAAAGTAGCACTAGAGGGTGTGCGCTCTTCAAGATTCCCATTAAATTTGATATTCCGTGCACTACCAAGCTGGTTAGAAACCATAGGCGAAAACTGGAATTCATTCGATAGCTTCTTTTGGGACTGTGGAACTTCGAATCCAAAGGATGGTTGAGGTGGATACGGATTATTCACTCCCAAATTACTTCCATTGAATGGAGAAAAGTAGTGATTTGGCTTTCTTTTGCAAGGTTTCACATTCTCTCCTCTTGTGACCATGTTATTTTTCTTAGGTATTCCCTTTGATTTCTCCTTCTTCCCTTCTTTTAACAAGTTCATCTTCCCTTTGCCGTAAACAGCAGTACCAAATGTCATCTGTGCATTCCTACTGATAGAGGATTTTTCAAATATTGAGCATCTATTTTCAACGTCAGGAAGACACCTCTCATACTGATTCTTTGCCATGAGTTCCACAATTTCCATGGGTATATCATCTAGTGTTCCCTGCTCAGGAACCTCAGCTGCTTGCTCATTGTATGTTTTATTAATACCTAGCTGTTCTGCAGCTTCAACATTTTTTCCTGTATTTCTTGCACCAGTAATTTCTTCATAGTGATTTCCCTTTCCAGAAATAGTATTTGTTGTGTGCCTGAAAGGAATGCTTGGTCCTCCAAAAACATTGGTTTTACTGTCTTTTCTATTAAGATTAGGTACTCTTGAAGTGCTCTCTTGAAAAGGCAATGAGAAGGGAAGGCGATTTTCTATTTGATGGATGCATTTTTTGTTGTAACCATGTTTTGACATATTGTTTAAAGAAAGATGCAACCCCTCCTCCAGTCCTTTTCCATTCATCACCCTTTGGACCGAAGGAATTGGAACATCTGCAGGGACATTAGACCTAATTTTTATGCCTGAATATGGAAATGAATCTTTGACAAGCATGTCATTTCTGTGGCAGGAAAAAGAATTAAGTTCTTCATCGGTTTGCAGCATTTTCCCTTTTTCTTTGGATGGATTGAACTCATTTTCTATTCTTAGGGCGTGGATAGGAAAATTATCCATCCCATTCTTTGTAAACACGGAAGGAGTTAATCTAGAAGAAACCGTTTTAGATCCATATGCTTTATCTGTAGTATACACGGTGTCCTCATTTTGTCTTCTCTGTCCTTGTTGCTCAGGAATCAAGTAATTGTCTACAACTTGATTCCTTTTGTTCTTCTTCTTGCCCACAATATGGCTTCTTTCGGGTTCAGATTTACTCCAGTTGCCTTTCTCGGCAACCTGTGAACCTGTTCCTGCTAGTACACCTTTGGAATTGGATTTCTTATTGAAAAGCATAACAGTTGTTTTTGCATTCCCCTCTAAATTTTGAGCTTCAAATCCATCCCTCTGAAAATGCATACTTTCCGTACTCCGTACTTCATCTAGGACAATTTTCCTTTTTCTACTTTGACCCAAATTTGTTAAAGTCAGATCTCCTTGAAAATCCACCTTTCCTGGGAAATTTGAGTGTGCCTGTGAAGCTGCAGAATTATTGGAAGTGCCATAGATTTGGGACTCTTGTATGGCAGTTTTTTCTGTCTTTGATTCAGCATTTTCACGCAACAAGTCAGTCATCAAACGCACCTTCCTAGGTCTCCTACGAGACACAGCCATGGACTTTTCTGAATGATTATCCTGAAAATCATCTTCAATCATATTGTCTGTACTTCCTGCAGGCACTTCTTGATTACAAGCAAATGATTCAATAGGTGGTCCAGTTGGGTGATCACATTTATTATCTACCTCCACGGCTGTTGCTACTAATTCTTTCTGGCATTGTTTATCTACAGAAGATGTTCCTCCATTATAAATCTCAGCAGAATTCTTATCCGTGTATGTAAGTTTGTCGGAAAACTGAACATAAGAAACTTCATTACTTTCACAGCCTATTTTAGTTGTGTGCTCTTCTTGTGCAAAGCCTGGATAAATTTTTGGAGATGGAACATTTTCTACTTGGCGATTGAGATTATCCTCCAATCCGATCTCAAGGTCGATTCTTCTACTGGGTTCAACTCCGACTTTCTTTTCTTTCTCAATATTAATTGGTAGACAGCCATCAAAACCACTCAGTTTGGTATTAAGATCAATATCTCTTCTCACAATAATGCTAGCCATTGGATCTTTCTGGATATAAGGTTTGAGAGCTGCATTACTACAGTTGGTATCAGGTCTACATCCAGTAATACAACAATTATAGTCTGCTTGGTTATCCTTAGGAATGTCTTTGGCAGCATTTTCTTTTTGAGAGTTTGGACAACGGTGTTTTGGTACGTCTAATGGTGGAAATGATGGTTGCTTTTTAGTCTCGTCTATTGGAAATGGACAACAAAGTTTCCAGTCTTTTTTTCGAACTTCCGAGACATATTCACGTATTGAGAAATGTTCACATTTTCCCACATCCCTCTTACCAATAGAACTGGCAAGATCAATAGTGATTGAGTCGATCTCGATATATGACGATCCCATGAACTCTGACAATATTAGAATCACCTGGCAAATAATTCTCCATTACTGTGCATGCACATCAGCACAGTACAAGTAACAGCAGCTAGAAGCACCAATATGCTTCCTGTGGATCACCATGCACGATCTCTTCCAGCTGCTTAACCGATTCTCAACGGCTTCCCATGAAAATAACACCGAATGAAAGACCATTCGCCGGAGAAGCAATAAAGCTCGGCTCGGAGCTGTGATTCGCTACACCGCCGGCATAATTTGAGCGCGAAATATGCAGAAACCCTTTTAAAGCATGAGAAAGAAGCTTGTCCATAGTTTCTCGAGACTCCTTGTACACAAGGTCATGAACCAAAGACTTGCCCATAGCCTCCTCTACCAGAAGTCCTGTCAATTCAGAAACCTTTGCATTCCACCCATTGATGCGACCATCGACATCAACAGCAAATATGGGAGCGGTGGTTGTTTCTATCAACCTAACCATTTCTCTAGCCACAGAACTCAGTTCATCCACCCCTTGTAACTCTAGTTCTGCCATATGGGTATGCACAACAGCCTTTGAATCATTATTCTCAGCTTCCTTAAACGAGTCTCGCAGGATAAGCTGCAAGGAGTAAATTGCATCCATTTCTGCATTATCCCACTGCATACTACGGCTCTTCACCACTTCTAAAAAGGCCTTGAAAGAAGAACGAGGATGCATTTTCTGCCCGTCATCCTTATCCTCCGGGTGATGTTTTGCACCACCCCATTTAATTTCTTTAGCCGTATGAGATCTGAACCAGAAAAGAAAGTCTTTTTCAGTAATATACGCAACAGCCTTTCCACAAACTGCATCCCCAAGAGAAGCAGCCCCAGGGTAACCAGCATCAGCCAAACTATCAGTACTCAAACCCGTGGAATCACTATGAAAGGCCAACAACCAATCTATAATATCCCTTATCCGAGACTCGGTCGGGGTAACACCCAACGGGTGGTAGTTTCCTTGATAATACAAAGCAGCCCCATCACACTTAACCAAGTCTATAATACTAGGACTCTGGGTAACAATCCCAGTATGAGAATCCCTAAGTAACATATCACACAACAGTGTCTGTGTCTTCAAAACCCGTTTCTCCAACGATTGCACGGCTAACTGAAGCTCCATGTTCAACTGAAGCCCAAAAGCCAGCAATCCCACCACTGTCTTCATTCCCATTAATAATAACAGCCATAGCCAAAGAAGCAATGGAACCCATATTTGCCATGTACTGAGCATGACAATCGTATATGCTTATCTGTTTGTCTTCAAGGACTTTGACTTGTCTCTGATAAAGGTAACCACTTGGTGACTTGAATATAACCTCCTTGATCAGGTTAAAAACCATTGGTAATTTTTTTGTTAGACACACATTTCTTGATCCCCTGTGAAATGCAAAATGCTATGCAATGCAATGCTTATGTATATGCTGATGCAATGAAATAAAACATAAGCCAGAGAGGTCGTTCAAATTTTGGGGTACAACACATATATCAACATTCATGGGGAACACGTCACTTATATCGACTCAAGTAGGTTATGGACGAAGCAATATTTTGCGTCGTTCTCAAGACACCATATCTCACGTCTAAGAAAAGGTCTGACGGTTCGCACGGCGGCGAAAAATTAAATTAAATGTTTGTGTGTTTGGAGAAGAGAATATATTTGAATAGGTTTGAAGAGTTTTGATCGCACGAGGGCGAGGAAACGAGGTTAAATGTATTAGATGTTTAGCTAGAGGTGACGATTACCTGAAGCTTAAGAAAGGCTTCTCGGGCCCAAGTAATCGAGAAAGTTAGTCAAAGGCTTGATTCTCTCTCTTTTTCATCCTAAACAGAGAAGGAATGAATATCGTTCAAGTAGGTGGATTGGATGACGATTACTCGAAGCTTAAGAAAGGCTTCTCGGGCCCAAGTAATCGGGAAAGCAAGTCAAAGGATTGACTCTCTCTCTTTTTCATCCTTAACGGAGAATGAATCGGATATGGTTCGAGTAAGAATGAAGAATGAATGGATATGGTTCGAGTAGGTTGATCGGATGACAATTACTCGAAGCTTAAGAAAGGCTTCTCGGGCCCAAGTAATCGAGAAAACGAGTCAAAGGCTTGACTCTCTCTCTTTTTCATCCTTAACGGGAAAGGATAGGATGTATTGAATGATAGAAGATGGTTGAAATATTTTAAACGAATGAGGATTACTTGAAGCTTAAGAAAGGCTCATCGGGCCCAAGTAATCCGGAAAGCGAGTCAAAGGCTTGACTCTCTCTCTTTTTCATCCTGTATTAAGAAATAGCTTTGATATAATTAACGTGGCTTATAAATGACGATTACTCGAGGCTTAAGAAAGGCTTCTCGGGCCCAAGTAATCGGGAAAGCGAGTTAAAGGCTTGACTCTCTCTCTTTTTCATCTAAGTGTTCGAGAAAATAAGTTTGATTTCGTTTTGCATTGTACATCTTTTAAAGAAGACAATTGTTTGGACTTAAGAAAGGCTCCTTGGGCCCAAACAATCGAGAAGAGAAATCAAAGGCTCGATTCCAACTCCCTTTTCATCTTTATCGAAATTATGTTTAAATATGATTAAGTATATTAATTTTATTTGATAAAATACTTGATGTGAGTCGAGGTTTGAATTTTGCGTACAAAAGGATTTTAGAGAAATCGACTGTTTGAACGTAAGAAAGGCTTCTCGGGCCAAACAATCGAAAATAAATAAATCAAGAGAGAGAGAATAAAATGCTCTAGACTCTCTTTCTTGTTCAAGTAAATTGTGGAAATAAATTTGAAAAAAAGTTTTAAATGATTTGCAAAACAATACTCGACGTGAGTCGAGGTTTGAATTTAGAGTTTTTCACGTGTATACTAGCAAAGTGGGCTAGTCTTCTAAGTGACCAACTAAAAATAATTGATCAAATAGGTATCACTGTAAGGAAGCCCAGGATTAAGCTTTAAATCTTGTGTATAGTGATCAAAGATTGATGGCGAGGCTTTGAAAGCACTCGACTTACAAGGGTAGAAAATGACTCGATGAATCGAGAATTAGTTTGAAAATAGTTTGATCCGCTCTAGTCCCCCTATGGGGCTCCTAGGATATAAACCGATAATCAAATAAATGTGAAACATACATCAAAATGGGAGAGGGGTACATGTAATTTACACGGGGTTGCACGAAATAAAGGGGGTCTCATTGTCAGGTAGCCCAAGAGAAAGTTGTGTGTGTGCATTGTATCCTAAACTACGCCTTGAGCAAAGTCGGGCACAAGCTCGATATTAGGGTTACTGCAAATGACCCATGATCCAACAGTCCACCAATTTGACTTTTAGGATTTCAATAATTTATTAGTATTTTCGGATATGGGTTAATTATAATGATGAATATGATAATGGCAATATGAATAATATACAAGATAACATAACACTAATATCCACAATAATATTTGATGGAAATTAAAGTTAGTAGTTAGTTTGGTTAGGAATTAAATCGGGACAAATGTAACGCTAAACCATCGTAGCTCGACTTATGATGAAATTCGAACTATAGGAGGTCGCGTGAGTTGATATTCGTGCTAAAACAAGATGGAGAAATGATATTGAGAAACATTTTCCAATTTAATCGTGTCGCACGAACGAAAAAGAAGGTGAGATCTCGTCTTAATCGCAAACAAAATGTTTATTAATTGAAGGTAGCCTATCACTATCCCGAAGTAGAGAAAATGACCCAAATGGTCATTCCCCATAGATTTGAAATCGAGAAGGTTATCGACTTCGATACACGACGCTTACGAATCGGAAGACATCATCGATCCAAGAAAGTCAAAATAAAATCGGAAGAATAAGAAAAGAGGAGAGAAAGAGGTGGTCTCATATCCAACATTATCCATCAACAATTTGATTAATAACGGTTTACGGAGGTCTCGTCATCAACCAAAATAGATAAAACGAAATAAAGTTGAAAAGGAGAAAGTCGGTCTCAGGTCCATCGTTTCTCATCAATAATTTGACAGAAAAACAATAGAGGTCTCGTCATCGACGAAAAAGAGAAAAATGGGATAAAATATCCAATAAGAAATGAGAAATGGAATTCAACTTCTAAATAATATGAAAATACTATAAATATAAGAAATTAGAAAGAAAATTCTAAAATAAATTATATAACAACTTCTAAAAAGAAATATATTAAAAATAGAAACTGAAATATAATATATTACATATAATAACAGACTGTTTTAAAAACTAATATATATATATATATATATATATATATATATATATATATATATATATATATATATATATATATATATATATATATATATATATATATATATATATATATATATATATATATATATATATATATATATATATATATATATATATATATATATATATATATATATATATGTTAAAAAATAAAAAATAAAAAAAAGAAAACAGGGTTTTTTTTATGTGAAACACGGTGGGTGCTGATAGATGAGAAGCCACGGTCAATGGGCTTCATAAGCCCAAAACAAACTATAATAATAATAATAATAATAAAAATAAAAAGAATAAAAGCAGCAACCACACTTTGTCTTCTTCTCAGTTGTCATTCTCGATCACCCTCCCTCTCTCACTATTGTTTAACAAAATCACTCAAACTCTCTCCGTTCACGTTTGGCGTTTGTAACCTTATGTTGATGTTCGTCCGATTTCTTTTCGTTCTTCTTTTTTTGGTCTGAAGTTTTGAAGAAGGGTTTGGAAATTAACAGTTGTTGAAGATGTTTGGTGGTTTGAAGGAAATCTGGAAGAATGGGTTTTCAGATTGATGAGGGTCTGAGTTGTTGTTGGAGAAAGGAGGATCCACGGTTTGTTTGATGTTGAAAGTGGAAACGGAAATGGCGGAATGGTTGAGAGTGAAGGATTTCGTGAGGTTTAATGGGGTTGATTTTATGATGATGGAGTTTGAAAAGTTTTGTTGTTCTGGGTATTGAAGTTTCGATGAGAGTTATGGGGTT